TGTCTAATGTCTTCCTTGAGACTCCAGATCATCTGAAGCATGTATATCCTGAATTCTTTATCTGACATTCCATCTGCTGCAGCTGTTACCTCTTCTAAAGTTGAGTTGACCTGCATTGCTTGTGGTCCTTTCTTTCCTTGTCTTTTCATACTGCTTGCGTTTCTTTCTGCTTGGTGAAACTGTTGTGTTTTTGAAAAATTTTCCCCCCTATATATTTATATTGCTCTTGTATAGTTGAAAAGTCTCTCTTGCAGGGTCGGGCGGCAGTCTGCCTACCTTGCAGGCGCGGGCAGTGGCTCTGCTCTGTCCCTCCTCCAATTGGTGTGACGTGTCTACCATGCCCACGGACCCCTGGGCCTGTTCTGCCGGTTGGTCGCAGGTCTGCCTACTTTGCAGGCGTGGGCAGCGGCTCTGCTCTGCCCCTCCTCCAATTGGTGTGACCTGTCTACCACACCCGCGGACCTCTGGGCCTGTTCCGGGCGGGGCGAAGGCTCTGCTCTGCTCCTACTCCAATTGGGGTGACGTGCCTACCACCCCGGCCGGCCGCTGGGCCTGTTCCACCAGTCGGTCGCAGGTCTGCCTACCTTGCGGGCGAGGGTGGCGGCTCTGCTCTGCCCCTACTCCAATTGGGGTTACGTGACTACCACGCCGGCGGGCCGCTGGGCCTGTTCCGGGCACGGGCGGCGGCTCTGCTCTGCCCCTCTGGCTTGATGACAAAGTGAGAGAGACTCGGGTGTTTGTGACTCACTTTCTTTACCAGGAGACCAACTGCTTCTGTCGCTGCTGGTATCGATGAAGTTCTCTCCTCCGCCGCTTTCTGATGACATCAGATCTCTGCCATGTTGGTATCCCATGCGAATGGCAGCATTTCGTTCCCTTTGCCGGGTGACCAAAGCAACGGGTGAGTCCTGACCGGCCTTCACAAGCCCCGTCTCAGTCCTATTGCCACTGCCTTATGAAGGCTCGGTTGGTATTTACCTCCACAGTATTCAGCAGGACCCGGACCGAGAAGCAGTTTCCGCGGGTTCTTTATCCCTGGGCCAGAGCATTTCCGGGAGCCGGAATTCGGCTGCTCCGTGCTCGGTGTATGTTCTGATAGGAGCAGGCTCCAAGAAGCAGTTTCCGCGGGTTATTTAGCACTGAGCCTGAGTAATTTGTCTGTGAGCCACAGGCGAATGGCAGCCTGAAATTACGTGTTCTATGGCTGAATGAGCTGCGATCAGTGGAGAACAGGGATGGTGACGTCAACTCTCCAAGATGGTGGCCGCTGGCTTCCTCTGTGGTCTGACTGGTGTGGAGAACCGAATTGGACCGCTTCCTTCCCCCGTCTCAAACCCAGAATTCAGCACTGAGTACGGTGATTGCACAGCTGGCAGAAGCCCGCAGAAACTGCAGCACTGTATCTTTGCGTTGCTATCTCCTCGTTTCCCAGTGCGCGCCGCAGACTCTAGCCGCAGGGCGATTTGCTGAATAAGCAGTGTGACCCTCCGTGCGGACAAATCTCTCACGTTTGAGCCCCCGTAGCTGATCCTTGTGCGATGGAAATCCTTCCTCTAGGTTTTGGAGCACCCCAATTTTGCTGGAAATTCCTAACAAGATAGCTTTTAGCCATTCTAACTCGTCATTCTCCCGCACAGTGACGCGGTACACGGGAGTAATGCTCTCCCTTCGCTGCCATCTTCCCCTCACTCTTTTTAACTTTTTGAGATAGAGTTTTGCTAAATTGCTGAAGTCGACCTTGAACCTGTGATCCCCTCTTGCCTTTGCCTTAGCCTCCCAAGCTGTTGGGATACAGGCGTGTGCCTGGCTCACAGCATCTTTTAGAAATAAGGATTTACCACATCTGCTTGCTGGAATTCCCTAAAAAGTATGAAAAAAATTGGATTAGATGCATATAACTCCCCTAGTCATGTTGTTAAACTCAAGGCTATGCCATAGTCACATTTATATTAAAATGTTCTGAATTAAGAAGATAGAATGTTTCAGAATTTTGCTGAATGTTAGATTTTTATTTTGGAGGAAAATCAAGAACACAATAGGGGGGAAAAAAAAGAAACACCAAAAAGCTACAAAGCCAGAGAATTGAAAAGACTTATCACAGTTAAGTCTGGCCAAAATAACAATTTTATTTAAATCAACACAATTTATTCTGGAAAAGAACAACACAGAACACTATAAGTATGAAGTGCCAGTCTTTTTTTTCCTGGTGGTGCTGGGGATTGGGCCTTATGCATTCGAGGCAAGCACTCTAGCAACTGAGCTACATACCCAGGCCAGAAGTGCCAGTGTTGATCAGGTACCAAGTCATCAACCACCTTGCTCTACAAGTGCCCCTTGTTCAGTCCTCACATCCTGAGACAGGCATTCGATGGCCCAATGCACGAGGCCAGGTGCTGAGAGTCCTACAGTGAAGCTCCACTTCTCAGGTTCCTCCATGTCTCCACAGTTCATCTGCTTGTTCACTAAATTCAAAATTCAAATGCAGTACTTGTGGCTACATATACTAAAGTGACGTCTAAAATGATCAAATTGATTCTAAATATTAAAGCAGTGCCTAGTGGTATAAAAAATATAGAATACATCTAAACATACAACGATAAACAGAAAATTAACTCTATCTATACGTCTTATTAAAACTTAAAAGAGCTTTGGTTATCAATTTAAACTTTACTTGGATTTAATACAAATCCAGTTCCTAAATATTTGTTACATATATTAAAAGCAGTAATGAAAACCCACTCTGTCACAATAGGAATGATCCACTTCAATTTGACATTACGAGAGAGTCGCCCTCAATGCCCATCCCTGGCTCAAAAGAGAAGTCTGTGAGTTTAGGTTTCAACTTATGCCAATGCCAAAACCACAAGAAGCAAATGTGCATATATTAAAAAAATCTATTGAATGTAGAAGTCATATGGGACAGATAGTAATAACTCACTTCTTATTGTGAAATTGTATTTCATTCTAAGGACAAGCTATAATTTTTTGTCCCTAATCTTCACAATTATGTGGTAAATTTGTGCAATGCATTAATTCTAAAATGCTCTGCAGCCTATCATTTCTCAACATTGTCTGACCGTTATCTTGTTTGCAAAAGCTCATTTCAGATATTCTGTGCTATACTATGAACACCGACTATGAATCAAGACATTTATGTACCTTACATATTGATCAAGTTTAACGCCTATAATGTGTTCAATATGCTTGGTCTCCTGAAGATGTCGGCCTTGCACCTGCACACCACACACCGCAGTGGCTTCCATTCAGGGTTCCCCTCAAACCCCAGTGGAGGTGCCCTGTAGTCCCATCAAAGGATGAAAGTACAACTTTAGTTTAAGATCTTAAAAGGTGTTATTTTATAATTCTAGAATTGGGCACCACTTCATCCCATAAAATAGCACAGTGAAGCTCCACTCCACTGAGCAGAAGAAGTTGATTATAAAGCCTAAGAAGGGCTGAAAAAAAAAAAAAATAGAAGCAAAGAACAAAAAGCAGACTGATCATTTCAAAGTGACAGGGAGACAGAAAAATAGTATCAGGTTACTTTTTGTTAAGGATCGAGGCAGAGAGAATCCCAGATGCCATGAGAATGGAAACCAGCCTGTTTGGAAATTTTGGCTATTACCTCAGGCTCTTCTGATTTCTCTACATCAGATAACAAATTGGTTTCAGTCTGATGACAAGGAACTTCAATACGGGCAGTCTGTTGGGGCCAGTACAGGAGCCTAGTCCAAAACAATGGCCTCCTGTAATTTTTTTTTTTTTTAACAGTACCTAAAACTCAAGTGTAAGCTGCCTACCTACTATTCAAATGACAAACTACACAGCATATAATCAGGAAAGAAGCTAGACATATTTAAAGATTTAACAAGTGATTCTTTCATTTATCAGTGAGTTGGTATAAGAATTCATACACAGGCCTTGAGCCTCTCTCTCTTGCTTGGCTCACTCTGCTCTACCTTATAGAGTGCTACTCTCATCTTCAATTAATCTGTACTTTGCCTGTTTAAAAATAATAATAAATCATATATAAAATGGAATACCCTTTGAAGGTCACATAAGAATACTATATTTCTGAGCCATTTGCAGTGGCAGATACCTGTTATCCCAGCAAACCAGGAGGCTGAAGCAGGAAGATCTCGAGTTCAAAGCCAGCCTCAGGAGGCTGGAGATGTGGCTCAAGTGGTAGCGCGCTTGCCTGGCATGCATGCGGCCCGGGTTCAATCCTCAGCACCACATACAAAGATGTTATGTCCACCGAATACTAAAAAATAAATATTAAAAAAATTCTCTCTCTCTTTAAAAAAAAAAAAAAAGCCAGCCTCAGCAACTTAGTGAGACCTTGTCTCAAAATAAAAAATAAAAGGGCTGGGATGTGGCTCAGTGATTAAGTGGCCCTGGGTTCAATCCTTGGTACAAAAAAAAAAAAAAGAATACTACTCTACTGGAATCAGCATTAGGAAGTCAACACTGGCTCTGCACTGATGCTAGATTATGGATCCATATTATTCATGTTCCCAGGTAATCACCAAACAGGGAGCTACCAAGTCATAGGAAAGAGACACATCTAAACATTGCTGATTCAGAGAATCGAGCACAAAGGAACGTAAGGAGAAAAGCTAACCCTGCAGGTATCAAGCAATGTTTTTGCTATCTAAGTCATAAAAGGTAAGATTCATCATGGACTTAAGAGTAAATTGGTATAATTTATTTTAAAACAAATTTGAATGTATTCTAGAATGAACTATAAGGGTAAAATGGAAATAAGTTTTTAAAAAATATTAATTCATTAAAATTTCCAGTAATAAATGACTATTTCAATTCTTCCTCATGTAAGAATAATTCTGGACATCTTTTTGACAGAAAATTTGCCTTTTTTATTCACATTCAATTTGTGTTTTCTTTAAACTCTAGCCCCACACACAGTATTAAAAAGAAACCTTAGCAAAAAAACTGTCTATCATAGTGACCACACCACTAAGAGAAGAGGAAACAGAATATCAAAGAAATTAAATTTACTGTTTATTTCTTTGTTACACAAAGAAAAATGGTCCAAGACATCTCAGTCCATGTCTTGTGAAACTGCTCCAGATCACCACTGGCAAGCTGGATCACGAATCCAGCTCAGGGTCAAGTTTTTCCACTTTGATGACGATCTCGGGGGCCAGAGCAGAAGCGGCCGTGTTCTGGGTCCCCACCTCCGGTTCGGACAGCGTCTCCTCCTTGATCTTCACGGGCTCACTGCCGGCCTCCTCCTCCTCATCCGAAGACTCGTCCAGCTCCCATTCGTCATCAATGTCCATTTCAAAAACTCTCACGTGACGGAGGTTTGAACTTAACTAAAGAGGAAAAGGCAATATGAAGAATTTTTAAATTAATGACTTAACAAATACATTACATAAAAAAGGAATCAGAAATCAGAAACTTGAAGAATGGTTTTACAGAAAGTTATATTCCTACCAATTTACTATAAAACTACTAAACTCAGTCTTCATTTTATATAAAACATACAACAGGGGCAACTGAAGCAGATTATTATCCTAACTACATTTTAAGTTTTTTTACAACAAGAGAATTAAATAGCTAAGGCCACCACAAGCTCATCATCAATTAAACTGTAAATCACACAATGTTTCAACAGAAAGGCTTTTTATCATGTATCTGAATCTGAAGAAGTTTCCACAGAAGCAAGGTCCCTCCTGCTGGAACTCTTAGTGAACAAGTTGCAAATACTTACCACACAGGACACTTTTCGAAAACCATTCCCAGCAACATACTGTGCTTTCATACTTTCCAGTAACCTCCAGTGCTTCTCGAAATGCATGGTACGTGTGGGAATGACACTACATTGTTCATCTAGCCTGGAGGGGAAAACCAACCCAGGAATCAAAAGGGTATCCTCTTTCCCTGGATCACAAGGGGTGGCACCAGGGGCAACTGTGGGTTCTAATTGTACCCATACTCTCATTTCCAATGTATTGAAAAGGGGGCGGTTGGTATATGATTCTATAAAAATACTGTAATTCCAAACAGGCACTGTATCATCTTAGTAAGATTTTGATTCCTTTTCAAGGAAAACAAATGGCAACTTTTGGGTGGAGGTACTGAGGACTGAACTCAGGGGCACTCAACCACTGAGCCACATTCCCAGCCGTATTTTTTGCATTTTATTTAGAGACAGGGTCTCACTGAGTTGCTTAGCGCTTTACCATTGCTGAGGCTAGCTTTGAACTCACGATGCTCCTATCTCAGCCTCCTGAGCCCCTAGGATTATAGGAGTGCATCATGGCACCAGGCTGGAAACATTTTTAAATTAGAGAAGGGCTCTAGTTACTTAAAAATCTCAGTCAACTAAAGTTATCTCAGAATTAGCTGTGTATTCTCTGCATGGGTACATTTAGTACTAGAAAGTACTAAAGGCACACCTAAAATAATTAATTCCAAACTAGGTTAATATTACCCTTGAAAATAAAACTAAAGAGAAGTCCCATTCATCCTCTACTTCAAGGAATTTCCCATACTATCTCAGCAAATACTCTGGATTTATTATTAAAGCAAAGGGACAAGGAGAGCTAAATCAAAGTCAGCATTTTTGAATAAACAGGAGGAGTATCGGGCCGGGGCTATGGCTCAGTGGTACAGCACTTACATAGTATGTGTGAGGCACGGAGGTCAATCCCCAGCACCATATAAAAATAAACAAATAAAATAAAGGTACTGTGTTCATCTACAATTAAAAAACATATATTAAAAAAAAAAAAAAAGTGGGAGTATCCCCCTCAGCTGCCTCTAAGGTTACCCCTAGGAACTAGAAAACCATTATCTACCATATCTGTAAAAACCTGCAATCTTTGGTATATATCAAAAAATAGTGAATTTTTGTATCAAGTAGACAGTCTTACTAAAGAGCTAGTTACCTTGTAGAGTACGTCCCAGTGAACTGATATTCTGCAGAATCTTCACTGTTGTATACTAAAGACAATGGCAACTGGACCAAGAGCCTGTCTCTTCCTTCACGTCCTATAGTGTCTTTAAGAACCACCGTTACAGTTTCATCATCATAGAACTGTGCATCTAAACAACTGTAGGTGCTAGAAGTGAAATCAGTTTTGTTATATCAAAAATGATCAGGACTACTGAAAATACTGTATGCATAACATTATACTTGTACCAAGCAGAAAAAAGGTAAAGAATTAAGGGATATTCTTTATAGTGGACAATTAAAACATATCATCAGTTTGTAATAAAACCTTTTGTACTAATTTTCATAAATATAACTAGGCCTTACAAATAGGTAATAAAAAAAATCAGGAATCAAAAGGATCTTCTCTCCCTGCATCACAAGGGGTGGCACCAGTGGCAACTGTGGGTTCTAATTACAATACTAAAAAACTCCCCACATCAACGGCTAAGCCTTAAGCCTGTGAAAATTCCCCCAGTGATGCCTTATGTACACCTTAAGTAAATAGAAAACCAGAGTAAAACCAGACTTAAAAGTAAAAATAGGATTTCACACATGAAAAAGGTATAGTAACTCCAAAGACCTTATTATAAAAAAAAACCTTGTGTGTAAGGAAGAAAAGAGTGAGAAAAAGACCAGCCTGCGACTGTGTCAGCTCTTTACCCTGGAAACCCTCAGGGATGGCTTTGGTACTGTTAACCTTTTGTATCCTAAAAAAAAAATCCCAGCTCAGTGAGACTATCACTTCACTTTTTCTGTTGGCAACATGAACCTGAGCCCTGCAGGCCATCTGGCCCTTGGAACCAACATTACTTTCTTAGTAGACAGGAAACTCAAAAGAATGAATTCTTCCTATGAAAACACACCACATAAATTCTTGCAGGATAGTAAAAGTCGAATTATTTTCTGCATATAAATATGTAAAGAACCTAGCCCCTCTGTAGAAAGTAAGAGCCCTTCTTCCCATATCATCTCTGTACAAAAGTCTGTCCACACTCTTCTGTGACTGCATTACACTAAACAGACACATACAAGCCCACCTCACCAGTATCTGTACACATCATCCACACAAGGTCAAGGCTTACCTCCTCCTGACTTTCTCAGTTGTGGCATATGTGAAGCTCCCAAATTTAATACCAATTAGTCCATTACTTACAGATCTTGAAGAAAGAAAAGGGAAAAAACTTTGTGGAACAAATGGATAAAGCCAATAATCTAAATGCTTAGCAGTGTTAGTACACTTGATTGGCAGTGTTAGCACACTTACCTAAAACCTAAATCTCACAGCAAAACAGCACTGTTCTCACTCCAGAATACTGGTAACTAATTTAAACACCTAGATAGTCAAACCAACTTGGTTAAAATCCTATAGTTCCCAAAGTAGCTAGATTCCTTAACTAAGGACCTCTGGAATGGCCAAATTGTTTTTCTTTGGCTACATCTTGGTCTCAAAAATTTTTCTTTAAATTGAGATTTAAAACTATTTAAAGTATTAATGGCATTCTGAACATGATTTAACCTTTAGAACTTTCACTTTGGGTTCTCAAAACAAGTCTCCGTGAGCAAAGGCCTCTGTCCAATGAAAGGCACACTTAACCTGAGGTAAAAATTCTTTCACTAATTCAGTTGTGAACTTCTAGAAGTGCATGAGATATCCTCCTGATTCTGCTGTCATATTTTTCCTAACCCGGGGGAAATACCACATACAATGGTAAGATGCCAATGTAAAATTAAGTAACCTAGAACAAAAAGGAATCATATAGCCTCCTAATTCAGTGTTATGATCTTAATGTTACTGTGAAAAATGTGACTGAGAACAGTTAAATGACAAACCTAAATGCGTGAGATAGGCTAACTATGGAAATTCTGAAAGGAAAGCTGTCTATGTTTTATTATAATAAAATCCCATCTCTTTGACACAACTTCAAGTTAATACTTACTGAGAAATATCAGTATGTCTCCTTAAAATGCACATTTTATAAAGTGAATCTTCTAAAATAGTAAAAAGAAGATAATGTAGATTTGAAGTTTTATTATTCCACCTAAAGAAAAAAAGTTAACATTATAATACAGTATTTAGTTATCTAAGCTTGGAACAAAATTGTACTGTTCACACAAGCTAGGGGAGAAACACAAACTTACAGAAAAGGAAATTTCAACAATCTACGTGTAGAGTCCTCACTAAAACAAAAAGGGAAAAAAGGTAAGAAAAATTTAAATGGGCTGCTAAATTATACTACCAACAGGACAACAGAATTACCTTCTTGCATCTCTGTATAAGGGAATGCAGATTGCTTGATTCATTGATTTTCCAATTACATCCTATATAAAATAAGATTTAAAAACATGATTAGAGGGTCTAAGTAGGTAGCTCACTGGGAAAGCACTTGCCTAGCATGTGTGAGGCCCTGAGTCTGATCCTCAGCACTGCAATGAAATAAAAATATACTTAAGAGCACTTACATGCACAGAGATATTCTACAGAAAAGTGTAACTAAACATCACTGTTCAAGGGTAGTAAAAAAAGAAAAATGATCCATGTCACCAAACCTTGCACATAAGAAATCTTAATGACAATTACAACAGTAAGAAAAAAAGAAAGGCAGTTTTAGGCTGAAAAGGACCGTGGAGCCAAGCACATGGCAAGTGAAGGACCACCTCCCTCTAGTCTCAGAGCATCAGTGGTTTGTTTATTTGGTAGTAAATATGAGTCACATCAGCTCTGTAACTAAGACTTTATACTGAGTTTGTTCTGGGAGAATAAAATACTACACATGCCAACACTTTAATATATATATTTTTAATTTACATAAGAAAACCACAAGATGGGTAAGACTGAACCACATGAAACTGCCATTTTTGATAGCCAAAACCAGCCAAACGTCAGCATTTTCATATTGTTCACTGGAGTAATTGTGGTCCTTTACACAGTGAGTCAGGTTGTGCAGATATTCTTGCTCCTATACAAAGACATGCATTCTTTCAAACTTACTGCTGGCTTTTGCAAACACTGATCAATAATGTTCTCCATCCGCCTTTTCACGAAATGCAACGATTTTCGAGGATAATAAGGAAACAGCAAAGGACTTTCTGGTTTCAAACAAAAACAGAAACAAAACCAAAGGTACAGCAAACCAATGAGTAGGAGAAAGTGATCTACTCTTACAGCAGGTCTGCCCATCTCGTGGTGGAATTCTCACTATATTTTCACACACCTCATTAAAAATGACCATGGCCTTCTGCCTCCCGTCACCTTCCACCCTTCACCCCCTTCCCCCAGGTACTAAAAGCAACCACACTAGTGCAAGCTTGGCCCCACCAAAATCCAACAGTAGGTTTTGTTGGCCATAAGAGGAAAGGAATGACTTGGCAACCATAAGCTCCTTCTTTCTATCTTGGCCATGAGAGAAAGATAAAGGCAGTGCAGTGCTGTTTTGGAAGAGTATGGTCCTAAACCAAAAAGGAGAAAAGAAACCAGCTGTGTGTAAACAATCTCCTCACTTTTAAAAAGGCTACTTTATCAGTAGAAAGTTAGATATAGTTATTTCTGCTGCTTACAACAGCCATATGAAGTACACATCATCATCTCCAAATTACAGACGAAAAAAACAAAGGGGCTGGGCAGGTTTAGGCAACTGCCTGATGTGGAAGAAGTGTCTAGATCTTCAAATCTACCCATTCCGACTCTGCAGCCCAGTGTCTTCCTCGGTGCTCTGTAGGTCACCTGATACAGCATCCCATGTCCCAGCTGAGCTGGCCAAGATGCATTTTCATCATGTTAGCATTTTAAGTCCCCAGCCATTGACAATGCTGTGGCACACAGAAAGACATGTGGTCTTTGTCCTCAGGTCTTGAAACAAAGCTCCTAAAACCTATGGAATTTCCTGCTGTGATAGGAGGTCTTCTGTTTCAATGAGGCAATTCTGGAGTCTCTTAGACAGACTTTGGCTGTGGGCTGGTTGTTAAGAAGACCAAGCTATGACCAACGCTTGGAATTTTCAGCTCTATCCCCCAAACTCTGAGAAGTAAAGGGCTGGAGATCAAGTTCAACTACCAATGGCCAGTGTTTTAATCAATGACGTTCATGTGATGAGGCCTCCATGAAACCCCCAAACAATGAGGTTCAGAGAACTTCCTGCTGACACTGCAGACACCGAGTGCTGGATGGGCATGGAAGCTTCTCCCTCCGTACCTACCCTGTGCGTCTCCTTCTAGCTGGCCCTTCCTGAGTTGTATTCTTTATAATAAACACAGTGAGAAACCACAGTGTTTCCGATTTTTTTGAGCCACCCTTGCAGATTATTTAACCTGAAAGGGAAGGGGAATATGAGAGTCCCCTGTAGCCACATCAGAGATGTGGGTAACCAAGGGACCTGGCACTTGTGATTGCCACCTGAAGTGAGGGCAGGTTGTCTGGTGAGACTGAGCCCTCAACTCTGTGGAGTCTGTGTGAACTCCAGGTAGTCAGTGTAAGACTTGAAGTGAACTACAGGACATTCAGTTGGTTTCAGGAGGGAAAAAAATATTTCAGTGTCAGCAGTAAATAGAGTGTTTTCTATCTATCACAGTAATGGGTTATGCCTTATTTGTTATTTTCTGTTTCTTTAAATAAAATGAACACAAAGAATAGGTCTGAATAACTTAGGTAAGTATTACAAACTTTTAGCCTGTCTTAATTAAATATAAACATAGTCAAAGACTACCTAGTTCATGAAGTACCTTTAAGATGGCTGCTGTTCTGGAGAAAGTCATACCACTGGTTTCCTTCCGTGTTAGGGGGTGACACAAGATCATCATCTTCATCTTTCAAATACTACAAGAGATAAAAATTTAAACTTAATAAAGAAAACAATAAGACCTTCCAAAATATTTGATATTTTTCTGTGTAATCAGTTAACCTGTTTTACTGCCAAGAACTCTGAAAGTTTACCACCATTTCCTGAGAATAGGAGGTGACCAAAATTTGCTACATGTCAAACATTTAAACAGACTGCACAACACTAAAATATCATTAAAATATTAGAATGTGATAGTTACAGAATGCATAAATTGAGCTTAAAAGTTTGTGTTTCATTTTCATGAGCTTATTTTAATTTTACATGTATAAGTTATAAATTAGTTTACAAGTACCAACTATCAATATGATCTGTGGCGGCTGATTTCAAGGTGTAGACACAGATCCCATGATGCTTTCAGGGATCATGAAGTCAACACCAGTGTTATAATAATGCCAAGAAGCCACTCACCTTTTCACTGTGTTGGTGTTTGCACTGATGGGAAAAACTTCCAGTGCCTTTGTTGAGTATGGGTAGTGGCCCCAAATCATACCAGCAGCCACTGTACCCTTTTTTGCCACATCATACATTGTTTCATTTATGTTTTATGAAACTATTAAATTGTTAATTTTATCAAATCTCAACACTTGACTACAAACCTTTATTATTCTATGGGATAGAATTTGGAGGTATACACAAAGCACTTTTGTTTCATTCCAAAGCAAGAAAATTATCTTGAGGAAGAGCACTTAATGAAACCATTTTAGTTATTAAGCCAGGCACTTTTTTAAAAATGGAGTTCTAGCTGTCTCCTGTTAAGCTGAACTTCAGAGGCTTGCAAAAATACAAAACACCATTCTTGACTGACATTTTTGTAATTATTTCATTAAAAATATTTATATTAACATATAATTATAAATGGAGCTCTTATTTTTAATGAATTAAAAATTTGATAATTTTTATGTTCTGTTAATTCCTAATAATATCTACCATTTACAGACAACAACCCACATAAACAAAAGCTCTTTGGGATCCTCAATAATTATTAAGAATGTAAGAGAGTTCTGAAACCAAACAGTAAAATAACCAAAGAGCAGCAGTTATTAAGCTATCAGGGCAAAACCACTATATAACTTGGTGTAAACTTTGGACAGTATAGTACATTAATGAAGATTAAAAGTCAGTTTCTAAAAATCAATCTCAGTTAATCCAAAATCCATACCTGACCAACTTTTTCAACATTGAAATATTTTCCTTTTCGATTATAAAGGTCTGGAGCCTAGAAAGAACACACAGTTTAATTCTTAAGTAAGCTCAAAAGAAAAGAAAAAAACTAAAGTTTAAGACAAAAACTTTAGAAGGAGCTGTAAGTAGCAGTTACTCTTTTCTTTCATGGATTAAAAAACATATACACAAATAGAAGTTCATATTATATACTGTGTTCAATAAATAAGTACTACCATTGATTAGTTTAATAGTCTAAAAAATGAGTTGTTAGAGACTTTAATTGAGTTAAATTTGATTATTTCTTATCATTGCCAGGTTTATTGCAATTATTTTCAAAAAAGCAGCATTACAGTAACACCAAATTCCTACCTCATTAAAATGTTCAGTAAGAAATTCAGCAACAAACGTGATATCTTTTTGAGTCATCTATCAACGACAAAAAGAAAACAAATCAAGATAAAAGGAAGCTTCCCATATTAAATTACAGTTAGGAGCAAGCAGCTCTGGTGCACTACTGCACAGGAGGGTGATTGTAGGTACCAATAATGTACTCAAGAGTCTGAAAGGCTGGAAGGATTCTGAACATTTTCTCCATAAAGAAATGATAAAAATTTGAGGCACTGAGTATGTTTTATCTGATTTAATATTATGCAATGTATTCATGTATCAAACATTACTTGGTACTCAGTTTGTACAATTTTTGTGTTTTTATGTATCAGCTAAAAAATAAATTTTAAAAATGGTTACTGTCTCTGTAAAGAAAGCCTCCCAATAAAAGGAATATTATATAATAATAAATGTGACTTTTTTACTATCTACTAAAAGGCATGAGGGGAATCAGTTCCTTCAAAGAAATAGATTATGCAGCTGTGAAAATACAAACTCCTAAAATTCTGATAATGTAATTAAACATTTTAATTCTATTTCTCAATCAGCTAATTCAACACCTACAGAACTCTTTGTGACCTAAGGCTGTCATTTTAGGCCTTGTGCAAAAAACTCCTTGTGCTGGGGGCCCTCCTTTGGGAAAGGAGATCATAAACCCTTCCACCCTGACAAGTCACCTCAACCTTGGTGAAGGACTGCAAGTCCACAGTCATGCATGTGACACTGTGGGCCTTGGCTGCTGGCAGCGATCTGACCTTTACCCCACCCTTGTTCTTCTAGCACTCAAAAACTTGCACATTAAGATGCCTCCAAACGATTACATGTTTTATCTCTCAAAATAAAGTTAACAGCAATATAAATTTTGTTTTAAGTGTCTTTAGCTTTTGACTGAATAGGAAAAACTTTAAAGAGCAATAAATAAGAGGAACCAGTCAGGTGTGGTGGCGCATGCTTATAATCCTAGCTTCTCAGAAGGTTGAGGTCAGTTTGGGCAACTTGTCCCCCACCCCATCTCAAAATAAAAAGGGTTGGAGACATAAGCAGAGTACCACTGGATTCAGTCCTGTTACTTATACACACACACACACACACACACACACACACACGTTTCAAGGGAGCCAAAGAATACAAAATACATAAAGAATACAAATATACTATATGGATTATAAAACCGTATGAAAATTATAAATTTAGACAGCCATAATTAAAAGGTATTCTGTAAGATGAAAGAATATACATATTTCTTTTTAAAAAGTCTTAATGGATCTATCTGATGTCTACAGCCTGACATCTTGCTAACCAGTAACTGTTTTGCTGGTCACCAGATGACCAGCAAAACTAAGCTCAACCAGGACATTACCAATACATTAGAAAAATATAGTTGTCCCTTTGTACCCACAGGGTCCTCCTCAGGCCTCTTTGGATACCAACATCTAGAGATGCTCAAGTACCATATATGAAATGGTATAAACCCAATAACATATACATTCTCCTATATACTTTAAATTATATCTAGGTTATTTAGAACACCCAATACAATGTAAAGCCTATATAAAGATGTTACATATTGTATAGGGGGAAATGACAAGAAAAAGGGTATGCAAATGTTCAGCACAGATGTGATATTTATGCAGAATACTTTCAATCTGCAGGTGGTTGAACCCACTAACTAGAGGATAGGCAGGGCCCACTGTGAGTCTGTACATTACCTTATTCAGCTCAGGAAGCACATGGTCTTCTGTCATTCTCAACATTGCTGGAAACAAAGTTAAAAGCTACCTTTAAAGGAAAACTAGGTACATAATTTCAATTATAGACACATTTCAAAGATAGAAATGTGTTTCCCTGGACTAAATCTCCTATTTTCAACAGTTTCTTTTACTAAGAAAAACATTATTTTTCTGCTAAAAGCATGAAGAACTTAAGTCTGATTCATATTTCCAGGGTCAAAACCAGTCTAACCATTCTAAACTATTATTTTTCTTTTTCTCCTTCAACTCAACCTGCTGCCATTCCACACAAGTCTACCTGCTGTCTTGTGTTAACACTGTGTGCAAGGATTCCTCTTTTTGCCTGTTATGTTTTCTGTCTTCAGATCGAGGAATTCTTTCCTCCAAAGTCTTATGATACCAAAGAAATGTGCTTATTTCCCTTGGCCTTTTTACTTACACAAAGACATTTGCAACAAGAGTTATAAAACACACACATATTTATATACTTCTCTTTAATTCAGTACATGCAGCAGCTGACTGTCCTTTCATGGGGCTGTCCCCATTCAGCACTGTACTTGGTGTGTGTCCACCTACATGAAGACTAAGCAGGTGCACTACCCAGGGTCCTATCTGCTTAAATCCCCTTCTTCCCTGTTTGGTGAGTAACAAGCATGTCAGAGGGACTTCTGCAAATACAGATTTTAGGCTCTGCCTTCGTGGAGATTACAGTTTACAAAACAGACCACCAAGGTTTAACAGCTACTGTTGGTGGCAGAAGCAGTATTACAATTAGGTGTCCAGTTCTGCAATCCAGTGTGCTTCCCCAGTGTTATCGTCTCATGAGAAGGACTGAACAGTAATCCATTTCTCTTCTAATTCTGATTCCTACTGCCATCAGGACAAGCAATTATAGAAACTAAGTAAATTACCTCCAATAACTATAACTTTTCAAACCAAACTATTACTTTTGTTAAACAAAAACTCCTAACATCTCAGTTTTAACAATGTAATTCATTCTGACAACCGGGATCACATTCTGATTCCCCATTCTGACTAGTGCTTATACAATTTTTAGGAAAATCTAAGAATTTCAAGCATCAAGATCACATTCAATCTTTAAACAAAAGCAATTTTATTAGGATGACAAACATCAAATCTTTTTTTGTAATAACAGAACTGAAGATAAGGACATCTATTTAAAGGACACCAGCATATTACAAGTAATTTAGCAGCTATTTCACTCTTTAGAATTTGAACAAATATGGGATAAATTCCATTTGTAGCTAAATCTTGCATATGCTGAGGGATATGTATAGAGTGTTATTTCAAGGATACTAAGAGTTCACAAAAATAGCAGTATAAATGAAACTAAATAAGATGTATATATACTGCAGAGTAAATATCTACACATTTGCTATCAAATCAGTAAGTTAACTAAACTGGCAACATAAATACAAAGGCAGCATGGAGATGCAAGGACCACTGTGGTCTGCAAGCTATCAAGCTGGGGCCTCACTGCCCAAGGGTAGCACCCATGGAAATGTTCAGTTCTGTGCTGCCAATGACCACGTCTCCTAAGAGCTGAGTGCAGTCAGACAGACTATGAAACTAAGTAATTTTAGACAATTTCTATCAATTTAAAAGCCACTTGTGGCTGGTGGCTACCGCCAAGGGCAGCACTGATCTAGAGACAGAAGAACAAAGTATAAAACAGGAGCTACTCAAGAGCTTTAAAAAAAAAAAAACAAGTGCTGGGAGCTGGGGTTGTGGCTCAGTGGCCGAGCATGCCACAACAACTAAAAAATATTAAAAAAACAAACAAACAAAAAAAAAACAAGTGCCCAATATATAATAGGGTCTGAAAATGTTATTTCAACCCACAAAGCATTCGAAGGTTTAAAAAAAAAAAAAGAAAAAGGATGGGTCATCAATGAGTGACAGGGGCAAAAGATGTTGCAAGTTAGCTCTATTCCTTCTGTGGGGAGGTAGGGCTGGTCATATGTTAGTAACTACTGAAGGTGGCAGAAGGGGACAAAGGGGTTTATTTGAAACTTCACTGGAGTAACTGAAACAGTCTAAGATGATACTCGCACATTTTTTTAAAATGTTAAAATAACAAGAACATAACTTACCTACATAGAGCCACCGAAAAAATGCTTTGAAGTTTTTCATACTGCTATCTATAACTCTAAGAAGATAAAAATAAATCAGAAATAGGATTATTATGTGGGTTTCATGTATCATTGCTCAATTTGTCAGGGAATATAAAAATCCTTACTGTTCTATTTTTTTCTATCTGGATGACATTTAAATCTTTGGAACAGCAGATTTTACAAATCAAACACATCCCTAAAAATAAAATGTCAAAAAAAGCAAATCCTGATTCTTTTTAAAAACAAAACCAATAACTCACATTCTAACTGGTTCTAACTTCCTGGCTATAAACTGTGTAATAGTCTTTCCTGACATTCAGAAAAGTATGAAATCCTTTTGTAACTTTGCAAATAAAAGAAATCAGGAAAAAAAGAGTTTTCAGCATCATTCTCAGTTTAAATCAAATACTATTGGTCAGTTAGAAAAATATTAACTCCAACAAGAAAATCATTATTATAAGTTTGTAGTACATTAATACTTTTGATATCAACAAATATTATTTTCTTGAGTTGATTTTCCAATCCGACAATAATATCTCAAAAATTGAATGTTCATGGGCTTTATACAAATGAACCAAAATTAAGTTATAAATAAAAGTCATTTTCATTTTGATGTAACTATTTCTGAAAGCAAAGATTGGCATTATTTTTAAAAATCTCTTTAAGCTCACATCTATAAGATAATTACTCCAAACAAATTATACCTCCACTTTTCACTCCTGTCTCAGGACTCTTTCCAAACATGAAGTTTCATAACATAACTGGAGAGGTGGGGTCAGTATTATACACTCTTCTGATTAAGATAAATTACTTGAAATAAAAAATACCACAACATCTCCTATGTTATGAGACAACAAAAACAAGCCTCTCTTACAAGCCTCTCTTTCCCAAACAATACCCTCATCCCCTTCCCAAGCAACCAAGCTAACAATCAAAATTATCACTGCTGATTTATTTCTCTACTTGTAACCTATAATAAAAATGCTACATCCTACTTACCTGAAAGTAACAAGAAATTAAGGTACTTTTCATTCACATTGAAAGGTGATCACACACAAAAAAACCAATATATTTGCTTTCAGTAAATGTGGTAAACCAAAGAATACTTCAAAATACAGGGAAAAGTACTATCATTTTAACCCTTATGAGTCTGTTTTTACTTCTTTTATAGGTTGCTTCTGTGTTTCTGAATCACAGCTAATGCATGTACCTATTTTTACCTGTTTTGATTTCCCTGGACTCTGTAAGCCCTTCTTATTTTCTTCCATCAGCTGTCTTTGCTACATCCTTCCATTCTTTCCCTGTCTGAAGGGCAATACTGCACCCCTGGAAACCCCTCTGCCCAGAGGCCTCCTGTAGCCTGCATCCTTGTCTGCGCACTGCACTCCTGTTCCTGTGCAGCTGCCACACCGTACCTACTTTACTGCTTGCATGGGTTAGCTCAGGGCTTTCAGGATCACCTGGTTCTTTCCTTAATCATTTTCCTGAAACGCATCCTTCAATAACTTCACTCAGAAAGTAGATGTGGAAGATAAACTTTTTTGTGGTTATTTCTCTGACCCTCACTCTTAATTCAAGATCTTAGCTGGATTTAAAATTCTAAAGGGGAAATATGTTCTCATGTAACTTTGGAAGCACTGCTCCATTAAAGTAGATTTCCTGTTGGTGATGGAGGATTTCTTGCTTCCTGATTTCTCACTTCTTAGAAGGGCTGTTTTTTGTTTCTTATCTCAAAGATCACTCTAAGAGGTTTAGTCTTTATCTTAGTATCTTGGAATTTTACAACACATCTGTAAGATGTGGGTCTTTTCATTCATTGTATTGAAAATAAGAGTTATTTTACATTGAACTCTATTGTATTATTATTTTGATAATTTACTCTCCTCCCAGTCTTTTTAACTAGATTTTTGTTCTGCAAATCTATTTGGACAGATATCAGACTTCATGGATTAATTCCCTCAGGGGTGAGGCTGGATGGACAGGAAAACACAGTTTTAATTTGTAAGATCTCTGTGCTATTTATGTATGTTTTAATTACTTATAAGCATAATTTTGATGAAAATTTAAAACCTCACTTTCAGAGAATTAAAGACTAGATTCTTATTTAAGTGAAAAGTGAGTGTTCTCAGATCAATGATCCTAGATAACCCCATTACTTACTGAAGAAGTTCATTTGCCTTGAGTATGAAAGAACCCACAGCAGTAATAGCATCTAAAGAGAAATAAATAAGTATCACTTATTGAATAAGTCAGCTATGTTTAATGCATTCTACTGAGAAATTAAATCATCACCTTCAATTCCTGTAGCATCTAGTCCAAGAGGCTCATATTTTTGCTTCCATGAAGCCATTCCTTTCAATTCACTCAAATGGTACAATAAGGACTCTGAGCCACTAGTAAAACAGCAAAAATAAATATCATTACTATCATCAAAGTGGTAGGGAGCAACTACTTTATCTGAATATGTCTAAGTTTTCAGAAACAAACAAACAAAAAAAACTGAAGGGAACTTTAGTTTTCTTTCTACAGGAAATAATTCTCAGGCTGGGGTTGCGGCTCAGCGATACAGCACTTGCCTAGCACATGCATGGCCCTGGGTTCGATCCTCAGCACCACATAAAAATAAACAAAATAAAGATATTGTGTCCAACTACAATTAAAAAATAAATATTTTAAAAATCTTAAAAAAAAAGAATTCTCAAATTCTCATCACAGGTTTGCGGTCAGCCTCAATAACTTAGCAAGTCCCATCTCAAAATAAAAAATAAAAATACTGGGGATATAGCAAAATTGTCAAGTGCCCATGGTTCAACCTCTAGTATCAAAACAAAACAAAACAAAACAAAACCATAGCAGAAACATCCAGTCATGACTGAGATAATATACACAACCACAAGATTAGATTTTGTTAGATGATCAGATTATGTTCCACAGTTTAACCCAGTCATTTCTGGAGTACAGGGTGGGGGGGGGGTAGTGCTAGGATTGAACCCAGGGCTTCACACATGCTGAGCAAGCACTCTTCCACTGAACTACATCTCCAGCTCCAGTCCTACCTGGTACTTTTATCACAACCATTTGGCTATCTTGTTCACCTGACTATCCAACATTCAACAAATATTTCTTAAGCTCTGACTTGATGTTAGGCACTGTGCTAGATGCTGAGGACAAAATGAACAATGGTGTCCCCTTGGCACTGACAGGTCCCAACTATTATGATTGCCTTGAAGGAAAGGCAGTGGGTGAAGGCATAACCGAAGAACATGATCTAATTTGGAGGTCCAGGAAAAGCTTCTCTGAAGGAGTGTACCCGGAGAACAGATGACCGCAAGCTGAGAGCAGGGTGAGAGTGTTCTGGAAAATGAGAAGGGCATTAAGAAGGCCCTGGGTAGGAAACTAAAAGGCCACTAGTGTGGGCAAAGCAGATAAGTAGTATGCTAATGGCCATGCAAAGGTCTTGGCTCTAAGAGCAAAGGGAAGTTCTCAAAAAAGTTGGCAAAGTTCTCAAAACGTCATTAGATCCACTGGGGAAAACACATTCAAGGGATAAAGTGTGGGCTTGAAGAGACCAGTGCAAAAAGTGTCATGGGGCTACAAGAGGACTGGAGTTAGGTACTCAGCACAGTTCACAAAACTAACTTGAATATTCAGCATCCACTTGCTGACTGCTTCACTAAAGTAGCTGTGGACAGAAATAGCATGAGACCTAGAAGATCCGGGAGCAAGTTTTATCTATGACTTTAACTACCAGCCAGCTGTAACACCAATTCTGAACTTCAGTTTCTTCCTGTGTAAAATGAGGATAACCAGAACAAACTGCCAAGGTGTTAAAAGAAAAAACACACACTATGCATTTACTTAATTTCATTGCTCAAAAAAGGGTGTATGACCTATTTTAAAATATATCTCATGCTTAACTGGAAAAAGGCCCAGACAAGATTCAGGCTGGTAGAAACATATTAGAAAATTATCTGACAAAGCAGACCTATCATTGTTGACTCTCTAAATCTTGGGGTATGCCAATATTCCCCTCAAATGGCAATGGAACAATTTTAGCTAGAAAGGCTCAAAAACAAAAATGCCAAATTGAGAAAGGCTGCAGAGAGACTAATGACATGTACACATGGATAAAATACCAAAAAATTCTACATCACCTTCATACCTCTGTAAGTGACTTATAACCAATTTTTGTATACTGGAATATGATGACTCTATAGACTGGCCAAGCTTTTTTAAGCCCTAATTAAGAGAAGAAAATATATTTAGCATACAACTAGGACACTATATGCCATTCCAAAAAAGAAGAAACTGAAGAAGGTATTCATAATACATAAATACTTCAACAGCACCTTTACTGTTAACTGGTTCATCAAGAGGGTCTGAAGTTCAGCACTACAATGAAAAAGAAAGTATTTTTAGTCATTTTTCCATTCAAAACTAGAATCCATTGTTTAAAACTTAAATTTCAAAATAGAAACAAGATTTTGAAACAAAGTAAACAGAAGGAACTAGCCCAACAAAAATGAGGGCTTTGGTATATTCACAAAGGGACAAAAACGATACAGCCCAGAAGCTAACTGAAAATGTAAGAGAATACACCGTATGCCAAACCAGCACCTCAAATCAGGAAGGGAAGGCGAATACTCAATAATCACATGGACAATGATCTAATCACTTATAGAAAGAAAGAGGCTAACCTTTCACAGCATACAACCAGTAAACCACATTTAAAACACATAAAGGAAAAACACCCACACGCCATAAAAAAAACTCTAGATAAAGATACAGATCAATAATTGAATTTTTTAAGATAAATCTTTTTAAGGTACCAGAAAGATTAGTTTGGCTACATAAAAATTTCAAAATGTTTATCCATTTAATAAATACACATGCATATACACAACCACATTTACATAAAAAAATACATGAAAAAGCCCCAAAAGATATACACCTGAGGGGATCTTATGTATTGCAATTTTCTACTTTTTAAAAGGAATCAGGTTATTTTTGAAATAATTACTGTTAAGAAAAGGAAAACAAAGGCGGGGGGTAGGGGGGTGAGGGGGTGGGAGCAGGAGCACTTATCCTGCTTTTATTACCTTGCTTTCCCCCACAACAACAAATGCATGAATTCATCCTGCACAGATGTGGTAGTGTTTTTTTCCTGAACAAAAACAATTATGATATATACTTTATAAATTATAAGCATGTTTATTCAAAATCATAGGGAACACAACCCTATTTCAACATCTGCTATTCCTCAAGCCCCACCTGCTCCACTTCACAATCCTATCCCCACTTAAGTAGTACCAATGGGAAGAGAGTTTGCTATGGTTTGGATGTGACTTGTCCCGTGTGGGCTCATGTATTGAGGCTTGGTCCTCAGTGTGGTGATGCGGAAGTGGTAGAACTGTTAAGAGATAGGGTGTAGTGGGAGTTGGTTAGGTCATTACAGATACTGCCCTGGAAAGACATTAATTTAAGGTAGTTCTCTTGGAACTCTGGCTAGTTTTTGCAAGAGTAAGTTATCCTAAAAGGTAAGACTGATCCCTCCCCAGTCTTTGGCTTCCTGTCTTGCTGTGTGATTCCTCTTATTCATATACATGTTGCTGCCATGAGACTCTCCTCATGAGAGGAAGAACATGTGGGGATGCACAGCCTTGGACTTTCAGCATCCAAAACTGGGAGCTGTTATAGCAACAGAAAACTAATACATAGTCCTTTTCACAAATCTGAGAAAATAACATATGAGATTAGACTAAGCTACCTGAAACAAATGATTTTTAGCCTTTTATAAATCAGACTGATTTTTCTTATGTCCCTGATATATAGAGTATATGTAGATAGTAGTCACTCTAACTCCATGGGAAACTACAATTACATTACCTGTACAAACTTAGTGAGACGAGAATCCATCTGCATCAGTATTTCTTCCCATGCTTCACACATACATGTTAGTGACAAATTTATATACTATTAGCAAAAAAAAAAAAAAATATTAAAACAGTAAAAAATACTTAAATAATATGTGCTTCTTATGTAAAGAGTCACAAAGAAATCCAGTATTTACTTTCAATCACTTTTTTATCTCAGTTAAGCCAGAAAAAGAGGAAATCAGAGCTAATCTTTGGTAATCCCTTAACTATAAAACATTTAATTTGAACTTTATAATAAAATATTCTTAAAGCTTTTTTGGGGAAGTGGGGGTGAGTATCCATTGATTGAACCCAGGAGCACTTTTTTATATTTTATTTAGAGACAGGGTCTTGCTAAGTTGCTTAGGACCTTGTTAATTTGCTAAGGCTGGCTTTGAAATTGCAATCCTCCTGCCTCCGCCTCCCAAGCAGCTGGGATTATAATCGTGCACCATCACACCTGGCTCATTCTTAAGTTTGTATCTGGTAAAACAAATATCCTCAAGCTTTTTATATGTTTAATGCATAGTGTAAAAATGCTGATTTGTTCTGCTATTCAACTATTAAACAGGACTTTTTAAAAAAGCATTGATCTCTAGAAACCTCTGATGCCAAGTAAATTAAGGATCATAACAGAACAAAATCCATGTCCACAGTTCTCTGTGGCTCCTCCATACAGCCCTGAATCTAGCCTAACCTGCATCTCACTCTAACAAAACACTGCAGAAAAAACACTGTTGGGTACAAAGACTCGAGTCTTTGCCCTTCCACTTGCACTCTTTTCTTTCAGTACTGGGGATTGAACCCAGGGGCACTCCACCTCTGAGCTACACTCTCAGCCTGTGACATGACTTGTTGTGTCACATCATGTCATGTCATGTCATTTTTGAGACAGGGCTTTGCTAAGTTGCCTGGGCTGGCTTCAAACTCAAGGTCCTCCTGCCTCAGCCTCCGGGGAGATGGGATTACAGGCATGTACCACCCCCACCTCCCCAAAAAAGCTTTAAGAATATTTTATTTAATGTAAGAGCAGACAATATGTAAAACTGTACTCTTGATACCACCCCTGCTACTACCACAAGGTGAACAAGGCTAGGCTGGCTCGTTGGAGAATGAGAGACATGAAACAGAACACAGCCATTCTAGCCTAGGCCACAGATTGGCTTGCATGACCAACCTGGATGAGAGAAGCTGCACCAGGCCCAGATCACCAGAATCTGCTGGCTGAGCCCATCCAAATTGCTAATCTCCAGAACTGTGAACTACTCCAGGATGGGTTTACTATAAGCAGAAGCTAACTAGTTTGGAGACTATGTTTCCACAATACTTTATTTGTAATAAAGTGCTAATGAAATTTTATTTATGGAACATTTAAAAAGATTAAAACCATTCTTTTTCCTTTTCTTTTGGAAGTGGTAAATAGGGTTGGGTGGAAATAAATTCTCAATTAAATTTCATTTTCTTGAATTCATGAACATTATGAGAGGATTGGTAGACATCCCCTACTGTAGATAGCTTTACAAAATAGAATTTTTAAGTTTTCTCTCTATGAAACTTTAAAAGCGTATAGTAAATACAAAAAGTAACTATAAATACCTGTAAAAGAGCTGAAATGTGAGTAAACTTTCTGGCCATTCGAGTTACTTCAGGTAAGAAGGAGTACAAGAGATTGGTTTCAAGCTATAAAATAAAAAGAAATAAAGTACATCACAATCAGATGCATTTGCTTCTTTAAAAGACAAACCTTTTCTTGCCCAGCTAAAAATAATTCTGTAATTAAAGAGAGTCTAGACCTAACTATTATAAAGACCATATCAGAATTCCGCCTGCTTTGAGCATAACACAGTGAGACTACCAGAATACAACCTCAGGATTCCTATGTGTGATGGTGCCCAGATCACTCTCTGGTCATCAATCCCTTTTAGGTAACTATAAATATGATAATCTATTTTGTAACAGAATTATGAAGAAATTAAAAATAATCAAAAAAGTATGTCAAAATTAAATGGAAGTAAAAAAATTAAAGGCTACTGATAAATATGCAGAAAATATCAATGATATGTGAGTTATCTCTCAATGAAGTTGTCATTAAAAGATATCTATTATGGGGCTGGGGCTGTAACTCAGTGATAGAGCACTTGCCTCATAAGCATGAGGCACTAGGTTCGATCCTCAACACCACATAAAAATAAATAAAGATATTGTGTCCTTCTACAACTAAAAAAATATTTTTAAAAAAGGTATCTATTACAAAACTCATAGAAAGTGATCATTTTTATCATAGTCCAAGTGAAATCATGGTGATCATAGCTTCTCAGGCTCATGATGAGGAGCAAACACAAACAGCCATTGCAGTGGTAGGTCCTCTGACCTGCTGGATGCAACAGAGACTGCTGGAACGCACCACACATACCACATGTTGCATCTTTTCTATTTTTTGAGAGTTCACCTGTACTTAGGTTAAGTGGAAAAGATATTTAAGATGAAAATTTGGGGAAGATTTCTTGGCAGGCAAAGCTATAATGCAAGTATCCTATGGAAGACCCTTCAAAATTTTCTCATCTACAATATGAATAGCAAACAATAAAAAATGGGTTTTCCCCAATATTAAATGTTCACTTTGCCCAAGAGGTTATATGCTGGCTAAGAGCACAGATGCTAGAACTAGACTGCTTAGCATCACCTTCTAATTCTGTGACATGGAGTAAGTTCTAGTTTCTCTGAGTGATCATGTACTTATCTATAAAACAGGGATAATCACAGTACTTACCCATTAGAGTGCTGTGTTTGAAGCACTCAGTCATAGCACATGTCAAATGATCAGTGATGATTAGCCTTTAGAACTATCTAGGACAGAATCTTAAGAAAGCACTTGGACCAAAGTTACACTGGTATAGAAAGCAATTAATATGGTCATTAACAGACCATTGAAACACTGTTTTGATGAAAATGATATTGAAGTACTTAGGGAAAATATACTATTTAATGTAAGAGCAGTCAATTTGTAAAATTCAGAAATTCCAAGTATTTTTAAAATTTTGCTTTGGTGACTATTAAAGTATACTGAGATATAGGTAATAAAAAACCTATAAAGGCTGGGGGTGTATCTCAGTGGTAGAAAGCATGTTTAGCATGTGCAAAGCTCTGGGTTCAATGCTCACCACACACACACACACACAAAAAAGAAAAAAGAAAAGAAAAAGAAAAAGAAAGGAAGGAAGGAGAAAAATTCGCCCCCAAAACAACAAAAAAGCCCCTATAAGGCCTAAGAAATATATAAATGCTCTCTACTGTATCAAATTTCAATACTCACCTGAAAGTATGAAACTTCTGAAGCACCGCTGGTAGAAACCTCTGTGACCACCGATAGCGACTTCAAATCACTTGATAAACATAATGCAAGACAAGTACCAGCAATCTGTAAAATAGTTATCAGCCACCCTGAGTACACGGGGTATTACCACTAGGTCTCATCTGCTTATAATACTGAAAACAAACATTTAGAGTTCTGAACAATTAAAAACACACACTCCTGGTCCCTGCCATAGACAGGACACAGGTAGCAGGTGAAGGTTGGTGTCTGCCTGCATGGGCATTCCCAGTTGAAAGAACAAACAAATACCCTGATTCCTGCTCCTCCTCATACCAAGTGTTAAAAGAACCAACTATTCCAAAGTGCCTGTATTTTCTACCCCTTTAGGGAATAGTAAGATTTAAAAAAATAGTAAGATTTAAAAAAACTATGAAGAACAAGTGAAATGGCTAATTTGAACTGTCAACTAGACTGGATTAAGACATGCCAATGATTAAGAGGCTTCTAAGTGTGTCAATGAGAGTGTGTTTAGAAATTGGCATGTGGCATAGCACACTGAAATGGAGACCTTCCCTAAACATGGGCAGCACCTTCCAATAGGAAGATGGCTTGGATGGAATAAAAATTGGGCGAATAAGGAAGCATAAGCAGATACAAGCTCGATTCTTCTTAAATGGTTCTTGTTAGGGTCTGTAAACAAGTCAAGATGGCGCCTGGCATTTTGCCAGAGGGAGTGGTTTGTGAAGTAACGCCAGCGAGCCATTAAGTGTGGAGATTCCTTATTGGTTGACTGCTGTATCTAGTTTATGTTAATTAAGATAAGCTGTGTGGAATGTATATATACCCCTCCTGTCCTACAATAAACGGCTCCCACTCCTGCTGTATCAATGTATACAAGTTGCTCGTCACCCCCTGGTTATTTTGCTGCAGCCGGACTGCGGCAGATGGTGGCCCGTACCGGGAGCCCCGGGACACTCAGGGGTAAGTTGACGAGAAAAAGCTGCCCGTCCCTAGATAGGACAGGAGCAAATCTGCTAGTCCCTAGGCAGATAGGGCGAGAGGAAAAATGGCCATTTTGAGAAAATGGAGAAGATTGATACAGTATGTTTGTGTCTTGTTTCTTCTTGAAATGTTGTATTGTCTTTGTGACGAAAATATGGAAGGGGTGTTAAGTAAATTACTAAGGGAAGGAGGCACCCCAGTGGAACCAAGAGCAGTTAGGGCATGTGTTGATAAAAGCCCAGGAACTCTAGTTAGAAAGAAAAAGAAAGTTCAGAAGAAGAAGGATTATCAGGAAAAAAGTTGCAGCAAAAGGCAATTACTGAATACTTTTCGTTACCGGAGGGTGCTGTAGCCGGACTGCGGCAGGTTCTTTTTTTTTTTTAAGCCGTAGATGGACACAATACCTTTATTTATATGTGGTACTGAGGATTGAACCCAGTGCCTCACACATACTAGGCAAGAGCTCTACCACTGAGCCACAATCCCAGTCCGTGAATGGTTCTTGATTGCAGCTGTGATTATCTGAGGATATCATACTCTTGCCTCTTCACACTCTTTCCAAATCGGACTCTGCCAGCAATTCTCCAGGGAATTTTCAGAAGCATTTGATGAGCCAGTGTAGAACCATTGGTCCCTCTTATTCTGAGGCTTTCAGCCTCTTGCACCGCACAGTTACTGGTTCTTCCAGCTCTCCAACCTACAGATGGCCACCGTGGACTATCCAGCTTCTGGTCATATAAGCCAACCTAAGCCAATCTCTTTTTATAATTATATTTCCCATTGATTATGTTCCTCTAGAGAACACTAATACAACAAGATTTAGTAATAGTGGTAGATTTGGTATTAAGCTTAAAATTACTTCTGATGACTTTCATTATATTCCAATCACAAATTCTAACTCCTATCCTCTGCAAGCTAGAAAAAAATCATAATCAAGTAGATGAGTATGATCTTTTGGTTAAAGATAAAAACTTGACTAGTTCCACCAATAGCTCCTGATGTCTATACACAATATTTTGCTACTATTTAATCTTAATAAGAAAATTATCCTCTGAATCTTCTGGGAATGGTGGTGCATGCCTATAATACCTGCAACCTGGGAGGCTGAGTCAGAAGGATTGCAAGTTGAAGGTCAGCCTCAAAAACCACCCTGTCTCAAAGTAAAAAATAAAAAGGGATTAAGGGATTGGGATATAGCTCAGTGGTAAAGCACTCCTTGGTTAAATCCCCCGTACCACCAAAAAAAAAAGGAAAGAAAGAAAACAAATTGGTATAACCACTTTGGAAAGCAGTATGGAGATTCCTTAGAAAACTTGGAATGGAACCACCATTTGACCTAGCTATCCCACTCCTTGGTCTATACCCAAAGAACTTAAAATCAGCATACTACAGTAACGCAGCCACATCAATGTTTTAGCAGCTCAATTCACAAGAGCTGAATTGTGGAACCAACCTAGATGCCCTTCAATAAATGAATGGATAAAGAAACTGTGATATATATATATATATACACACGTACATACATACACACACACACACACAATGGAATATTATTCAGCATTAAAAGAAAATAAAATTATGGCATTTGCAGGTAAATGGATGGAGTTGGAGAATATCATGCTTAGCAAAATAAGCCAATCCCAAAAAACCAAAGGCCAAATGTTCTCTCCAATACATGGATGCTGATCCATAATGGGAGGGCGGGGGGGGGGGAATGGGGAAAATGAAGGAACTTTGATTGGGCAAGGGGGAGGGAGGGATGGGAAGGGGGGTATGAATGCAGGAAAGATGGTGGAATGAGATGGACATCATTAACCTAGATACACACATGACTTCACATACGGTGTGACACTACATCATGTAGAATCAGAGAAATAAAAAGTTGTGCTACAATTGTGTACAATGAATCAAAATGCATTCTGTTGTCATATAAGCTTAATTAAAATAAATAAATTTTAAAAAAAGAAGAAACTATCCCACTATCCACTGTATCCTCTATTTAAGAACTGAAAAATCCTGGTTTTATTCTCATTCCATAAGTAAACTGCTATATATTCTATGATAAACAATACAGAACATTTTTAAAGAAAAACTTACCCCTGTGACTCGAGCAATTTTGAACATTCCATAAGCATAGAGCTCAATAAATCCAGAGCTTCCTCCAAGGACAAGAATATTCAGCCTAATTAAAAATAATGCAAAAAGCTGAGGACCAACCAACAACAGAGACGATTCAGTTCTTAAACCAGAAAACATGGCTACTGTTCCCACATAACCCACATGCTAACTATGCCCCGCACAGGGAACAAAAACCAGACAAATCTACTACCACTCAAGATTTATTGCATCCAGGCTATTTCTTTTCTTTCCCCAAAAGAACAATATAAATTTTCTGTGCAGCCTAAAGAAAAACCAGTTTATAGTAAAATAACATTAAAAATCATATTTATATGCAATCAATAACAAAACAATCCTTTTTCTGGCTTATTTAAATTGTCATCAGTTTTATCATTGATAGACTCTATTAAAAACAACAGACATTAACATCACTATGTTGTTTAGTGGTATTAATATCAACAATGAAATAACATGACAAAGGACTTGCTTGAAACTTCTGAAAACTGACTCAAATATGAAATATCAACTTAAAGAAATCAGATTTATTTAAGGTATCTGCAAGATTTACCTGACATCTCCCAAGAGCTTTATAATTTCATCAGAATTTTCTTCACTAAAATACAAAAATAAATTTGGTCATCTTTCAACTATATCTTCAAATAATAAAATATTACCTTACTTGAAAATGAAAAAGGTTTATCTTACCTAAATATTTTTGAGGTGCTGCTATAACTGGGGGAAAACAGATAAAGATAAAAAATACTCTTAAAAGAAATATATATATATATATATATATATATATATATATATATATATATATATATATATTTTAATGCATAAGAAAATTGCCACAGTATTAAAAATAGAGGACAGAGAAATGTGGAAGATTAATTCCAAAGAAACAAAACTATGATACTTACTTTTTTGGCAAGGTGGGCAGCTTAGGTAAGAGAAGATTTGATTCATCCTCAGCATTATAAAAAGATGTTAATACACTAAAAAGGAGGAAAAACCAAGCATTATAAAAATATCAAAGATTTTAATTCTTTTTTCGCTAAAAATGTACATTTCTTTTAAAAGACTCTCAGTTTTTTAAAAATATTTTTAGCTATAGATGGATACAATATCTTTATTTATTTTTATGTGGTGCTGAGGATCGAACCGAGTGCCTCACATGTGAGGCAAGTGCTCTACCACTGAGCCACAATCCCAGCCCAAAAAGACTCCGTTTTATAAAACTTATCAAGTAAAAAGATGCCACAATATCTTATCATCATCAAACAATCGTTCTAATATCACAAATGAGAAATGCAAAACTAGGAATTTGTTATTTTTGTAAAATAAATCATCCTATACATTTCACATTTATAGAAATGAATAATAGTAAGCAATTTCTCCACAAATATAATATGCTTTTATATTACTTTCAGTATTCAGACACCAACTGAGGATTTATGACATCTTAACTCTCACATAAGAAACCACACTAAATGTACAAGTGTAAAGGGTAATTTTAAGGAACATTTCAATCATTCTATCATTTGATTATTGGTTTATGGCTTACATACACCCGGGGGGGTGGATAACCCAGCAGGTGTGAGAAAATACCATGAATTTTGAAATAGTCTTACGTACTACTTTTCTTTCCCAAGTCTACCTCCAAATGAGGTTGGAAACAAATGAGTGAAAAAGTGAAACGAGTGACTTGGGGTGACTTGCGAAGTATTTTTTCCCACTTCGACACATTGTAGATGAGAGATCCCAGAATCTCCACATAACATTTCTAAGCTGTTAGCAGATACCGTGTTAGGAATACACTCTGCAGGTAACTGGGCTGGGACGTGAACTGCAAGGCATGCTCTGCTCCTCCCACTTCTAGAAAGTCACATAACCATTTGTAATTCTTTTTTTTTTTTTTTTGGATTAGACTTTAGCATTTTCTTTTTCTTTTTTTCCTTTTTTTTCCCCCCTCACACCATCTCATTTGTAATTCTTAACAGTTAGGACTTATAACTCATTTGATATTAACCTAGTGAAACTTAATTAAAAAGGAAAAGCTAACGAAAAGAAAGCTAATTTCCCTCAAAAGAAAAACAGTTTTCTTCCTTTCTTCTTTTTAACATTAGTCATAACTCAGTGACCCTTCAGTCCACCTTCACTGCAAGCCTGGTGCATTGCTTCACTACACACACTAAGGCAAAATACTTTCACCAAACAAAGGAAACTATGAAAACCATGGGCATGGAAGGAACCTGTTCAGTGTCACAACAGAATGCTCAACTAAGACACAAAAGACATAACTCCAGACCAAAAAAAAAAAAAAAAAGTGAAACAGAAAACAGAATCTCAATTTTAATTAATGTTACTTGAAAGTATAAAATCATTGATATAAACTACTAAACATGATTGAAGAGAAAAATCGTGACTATTCAGGCACTGCTGCTCCAATAATAGACTATTTTAGAAGAAAAAATACCCAGCACAATATTAAAGCATTTTATCTTGATAACCTTAAAACCAATTTATTTTATTTACTTAATTTTATTTATTTACTTAGGTACTAGGGATTAATTCACTCCTTTTTAAGAAATGCCAGCCTCAAACTTATGATCCTCCTGCCTCGACCTCCTGAGTCACATGGATTACAGGCATATACCACCATACTTGGCGTAAACCAAAATTTAAATGCAATGTACACTGAACACTCAAGACAAGTGTTTCCCCATTTCAAAACATGAAAATTTCCTGGGTATGCTATTGTTACTGCTGGTAGTGTTCTTTTCTGATTACTGTACCTGCTTTCTACAGTCACTTCCATCCAATGCATACAAGAAACCGGAGCCTCCACAGAAAAAGAATGCAAGCTTTCAGGCTTTTCTACATCACACAAAATAATTTTCTTGGTGTCAGCAAGAGCAAAGGCCAAAACTAAACAAGGGGAAAAAAAAAAAATCAAAAAAAGATTATGTAACCTTTGCAAAAAAATAAATGGGTATTTCACTTAATGCCCAGTTGGACTATTTTAAGCACATCCTAATCATAGAAATTAAACACTAAAGATATCTTTGCACATATATACATTATTATCCAAGTTTATTTTCAAGTGCTCAAATTTCATAAGCAATCTACTTTCTCACATATTGTCCTTAACATCTTAAACATCAAAAACTCTGGACTGCAATCTTACTGTCAAGCAGAAAATACAAAATGGGTCTTAATAGATTAAGAATTAACTTATCATCAAGACATATGGGTCCTATAAACATGTCCAAAAGATAGGAAGTGATTCCATCTGCTGTGTTCTTGAAAAGTCTATTTATGTGTCTAACCCAGAATAGTAAACACCACCCCCGAATACTGATGAGTCTTCCTCCTTTGACTGTGGCTGAATAATTATCTACTATAGTTTCTCTACATAAGTCACTACTATCTTCCTAACATATCCAATTTAAGAATTTCTAAACAGAGAGCAATGAAGTTTCACTGCACACCGCTACACATAACTCTGCTGGATATGGGGCAATCTGAGCCTCCTGTTTTAAAAAACAATGTAAAAGTATCTTGAAATGATCTTTCTATAACAAAAAACACATTTTACTGTCCAAAAACATGAAATGTACTTTAAGAAAATGATAAACTAATCTACTTAAGCACATTTCTACACACTGGCTTTCCACCTTTGAGATCCTGGTTTTATGATGATAGTAACATCTTGAAGACCTTGAGGTCCTCAAATTTTAAGGCTCTGGGTGTAAGGGCAGAGGTGTGGTGCTTCACTAACATGTGCAAGACCCTGAGTTTGATCCCCATTATGGCCAAAAATAAATAAATAAATAACAAACCACCACAACAAAAGTCCCCTAATTTTACACATATTCTATACGCATTCTGGGCAAAATGACTATAGAATGAGTATAGTGTTTTGGAAGCATTTTACAAAATCATACCAAGTTCTTCCCAGTCAGTGTTCAGAATGTTTATACAGCACTGCTTTATAAAAGCCAACAACTGGAAATAATATACAGGTACATCAAGAGGGATATATTTAGTAAATTACAATATATAATAAATTAGCATGCTGTCATTTAACATTAATGTGTTAAATTTATTCATGCTGAGACAAAAAAAGAAAAAAAATCACACAGTAAAACCGCATGCATCAAATAACTTCTTTTGCTAAAACCCTACATACAGATTTCTATATGTACATATTTTATCAGAAAATGTCAGAAAAGTGTTCACCAATTGCTAAGTGATAGGCTTTCAGGGAATTTCTAGTACTTATGTTTATTTAGAAAAAAACAAAAAACAAACAGTGAGGAGCACATATCATTTACTTCAGAAAAACAATATACTTTCTTCCTAAAACACCAACAATACAAATGAACTTTAGGCTTTAGGATTTATAGCATTTTACTGTACAGTCTACATGTGTACAACAGTTCCTATAAGGACTGTCACTATAAAATAACACATGGAAGAAGAGTTCAGTAATCAAAGCCATACCCAAACAACAACAGAAAAGGTACCAAGAGGAAAAAGATAGCACAGAACTGCAAGAAATGGAGTCAGAGCTAACAGTCGTTTAGATGCAGTAAATAGACACACAGAGAATGTTTATGAGCCTCTTAGTTAGTGCTAAAATATACTCTTGGGAGAAAAAGGCCAAGGTGGCACTGAACTGACTGGTAAATGACAAGTGGTACTTGGATCAAATGGTGCAGCACAAGCACAAAAAGGAAAAAAATCAAACCAAAACATTTTGTATAGTCCATTAGATCTCACTTCAAAGTTATCTTTGCCAGAGATATCTGCCAAAGAAGGAAGATGGTAAAATTCATCTGAGTTCTATAAAAAACTGTTAAAGCATTCTAAAAAATTAAAATCCCCAAATTTTAATGTACACAATTAATTCTTTCTGAAATAAGCTTTTATACAGAACACTCTTTATGAAAATAAGAAAGTTATTTTTTATAATATTATTATTACGTTTGCCATCTGGTCTCCAAGCCAGACAGGTTACTTCCTTTCCTGTATTTTCATTTGGTGGAAAACTCCAAACTCGATGAAAACTTGCAAGTCGATGAAGTAAAACCTAAGATAAAACAGATAAAATGTCAGAATTAAAAATCTATTTCAAAAAACAAAATAAAGCTAGACCCCCACCTCCATCATAAGACTTTAAATACTTAACATCTACTGAGTAAAATATTTAACTATCAGAGGAACAGAAGACAAGTAGCTGAATGAATATAAGGCATTTTGAAAGAAAACAACAAAAAAAGTATTTCAATTTAACCCCGTACTTGTACATTTTTCTTTTATATCAACAGATTTACCTTTTAGAAAGGAATAAAAAGACTGTCCAAGAAAAAGACAACAACAACAAAAAAGAAACAAAGAACATAAATAGCACTTAAAAAGTAGCTGTAAATAGTAAAATAACTAAACTTTGGATCAGACAATTTGGCATCTAATTTCAGCTGTATTCTAGCCATGGATCTTGAATAAGTCACTTACCCCAGTCTACATTTGTGTTTCTGCACCAATAAATGCCCACCTTGTAAGGTCACTATGATGCTCCGGGGCCCCTTGGAGCCTCAAAACTAAACCTGTCCTTACTCTAGCCTCTATATATAACCAACCATTGGAAAAAAAGAAGAAAAGTCTCAGGACTGCACGTGTTCATGAAAGAACCACTCCTCATCTCCTTAGTCCCCACACATGAAGCCTCACTAGTCTCCTGCCTTCCCTCACAGGTCAGAATGCCCTTCATTCCTGATAATATCAGTCACCATTGGGAACCTAGGACTCCCAAGGAATCGCTCACACCCTAGATTTGATCCTCTTGTCTGGAATTACCTACACTATTTCTTACTTCTGACACTCTCCCTCCACGTCCTTTGCAATTCATGATCAATCGGTCATCTTCAAAACACTATCTTCATCCTTTTCTCTGAAATGCACCTCTCACCTGAGGCTACTGCTTCCCTGTAACATTGCAGCTGGTGGCCGTTTTGTATCCCAAGTCCTGTGCAGTCTTTCTACTGGGCTAGGAGATGAAGTAGGTATCCTCCTCGATTCTCAATACCATTTCTGGATGACTTCTTTAAAATCTCCAAACATATGACAGACCCCTGGGCCATTCCTCTCATTCCCTAAAGAGGTGGTCTCCTTGCTCACTCACATTTTCCAAAACTACTCATTATTACATTTGGTGACCGTGCTCAGCTATCTCTCTCCAATGATCATATTTCCCTACTTCACCACAGCCACTCCTAGGTGCACGCCCAGGGCCTAGTCACTACCAACAGTTCACAATGCTGCCAAAATCTGTTTCAAACTTCCATTCCCACTTTCCAGCTGATCTCTACAAGATCCAACTCTAATTCCTCAACCTCATCAGGGTATACAATCCTTTGATTCTACTACCTATTCAATGTCCTTCACCCTGAACATACCCTCACTTACCTCCTTGATCAGGTTAGAATCCAAGATTCATCACTATAGTCATTGCTTCTGCATGTAACTTCAACTCCTTTGCATCTCTTTGCCACACTTGTGAAACAACAATCTTGCTTAAGCCCAATCATGTCTGCATCCATAGAGCCAAACAGAATGAAGAAACAAGTACAACCATACTCACTGTTTTCTCAAATTACTAGACCACTAACCTTCCTTAGTCCTTAATATTGACAAGCAATCCTATTACATTTCCCAAACCCTCCTGTCTTATCACCTTTTTCACACCTCTTCGCTCTCCTCCAAATTTACTTCTCGATATTCACTCAGACAATGCCCTTTGCTGCTTCTTAGAGAAAATGGAAACAACAGTGCCCACTATCACATACTGATCTGAATTCTCTTGATGCCCCAATATCTACCTTCCTTCCTACTACCACGACTGTATTACCTGTAAAGCTCTCTAGAATCATGATAGAATTCCAAAGCACCCTGGCAGAAGAGAGACTAAAGACTCATGGAGAGCCTTAAGAAACTAGACAACATACTGATACATGAGTCAAGGCAATAGTAATGCAGTTTTACAGGCTACTAAGTTTCCGCGGCTGCTAGGATTGCCTTACCACCTAGTTTTCAAATTTTGGCTACACATAACACAACTTTACCTGCCCAAGGAGGAAAGATGCATAAGTGAAGGTTTCCTTACAAAATGGCTGCCAAATACTACTACCCTTTAGTAGAAAATTGTCTACAAACTGGTTATACATGATAAAGCATAATATAAATGACTAGAAACGCTGACAGCGTTCACACATATTGTCAGGAATCCAGTGACACACCATTCTTTTTCAATTTAAAGGTACCTTCAAGTGGAAAGTGGCCATCCAACCCAGGTGTAAAAAGTTGGACAACAGGACATAGAGCCTTAAAACCTCCCCTATTGGTAGCTACACCATGCACATTTGCAATAAGGCTTGAGAACAATTTATGTTTATTCTGCTATTAAACTGAAAAAAAGACTCAGGGCAGGGTTCAAGAATCTACCACCTCCTTGCTCCAGAGTGGCACATCATGCATGGGCTTTTCAAGAAACAAATCAACGAATGGGGGCGACTTGAGGATGCAGGGCTGTGTAGTTGTAGTGAAAATTTCTCATGACCCAAAAATACAGGAAACTGGCATATAAATAAACCGTCTTTGGCAGATACAGTCCTTCACACTTCCACTACTTAAAAGTTGACTGCCGCCTTGGAGCAGGGGCGGGGCACGCAGGTGGGCCGCCAAGCGCAGGAAACGGATGACACTCGAGCAGTCTGGCCCACGGGAGCCGGGCTGGGCTGGGGTTCTCGACCCAATGCCAGTGGACCCAGCCGGCTCACTTACCTCGCCCGCGGTGTTGGCCAAAGCAATGAGATCCCGCTTAGGCGACCAGACCAGGAAAATTATCTCCTGGGGCAGCTGCTTCTCTCCCACCACCCGGAAGGATGGGAAACAGGTCGGAAAACGCAACATAGGGGCGGCCCTGCAACCACACCCCAGTCAGAGGGCGGCGGAGCCCTCGGCACCGGCCTTGGGCGAAAAGCCAGACTCCCCGGGTCCCTGGGAGAGCCACCCTGCTTGGCCAACGCGGCCCACCAACCCTTCCCTCTCCACCCCGCCCCGCCGCTCGCTCCGGGAACTTCCGGCGCCAGGGAGTCCTCGCGAGAGGAAAGAGGTGGCGAGCAGGCGGGAGGGCTTGGGGCGGTCGGCGTGTTGACGGGTGTGCCCGGGGGGAGGAGCTGGGCGGGGCCTGGGCAAGGGCGGGGCGAGGGCGGGCTCGGGGCGGAGCTAGTACGGGGGCTGGCCCCAGGGTTGATACGGACGTGTCTCTCGGGCCACCCGCCAGTTGTGTGTGGGTGTGCTTTCAGGTCTTCGCAGTCTTCAGAGTAATTCATTGCAGTAGGGAAAAAGATCGTCCAGGATTTGGGAGCAAGGCCTTAGAGACGCTGTGAACTTTAGGTCCTTATCAGCCGGGAGTCCTTTAACAGGTCTTAGTTCTCAGTCCTGGTTGCTCAGCAGAATTTTAAAAAGCTCGCCTCCCCCCTCCTAGATCAATTAAAGGGATTAATACCGAATGGGACCCAGTATTTATTCTTTAAAAAAATATTTATTTTTTAGTTATAGTTGGACGTAATACCTTTACCTCACTTATTTATTTATTTATTTTAATGTGTTGTTGAGGATCGAACCCAGGCTCTCGCAAATGCGAGGTGAGCGCTCTCCCGCTGAGCCACAATCCCAACCCCGGGAACCAATGTTTATTAAAACCTTTAAATGACTCCAGTTTGCAGCTAAGGTTGGGGGAGAGCCTGCTTAAACTCCTTCACATGTGCAAATAATACTTTGATTCTTCGTCCTCTTTAAATATGCACCTCACGTTATTGGTGGTAGCAGCCCACTATAATAAATGAGGGCTGTGGGCTCTCACAGGTTGATCCTTCAGCTAAGGTTTTATTATGTAAAAATACATGGATACAGGGACTCAACCCAGAAGGCTCCTAGCCTGGCAGGTGCTCCTTTAAATAAACAAACAAACAAATAAATAAAAATAAGAGTCAACATCCCAGTTCTCACGGGATGATCCTACCTAAGAGAACACCACTGGGACTCCTGAATTGACATCTATGGGAGAAAGCCAGCCATCTTTCAGTAAGTCCAATATTCCTGCCCTTTTCTGAATCTGGCCCTTGAGGAGCAGGCATTAGATTCTTCTAGCAACAAATATGCAAGTAGCTGTTACATGTGCCAGTGCCAGGCACTGTCCTTATCTCTGACTCAATGCCTTCCCTGCTCCCTTTCAGACACAGGCTTTCCTACCCTTGCCTTTGCTGCAAATACCTTAACATGTCTCCCCAATTTTTCTAGATTCAACCTATCCAAGGTAAAAATGGACTTGCCTTTGTTATTCATGAAATACATTTTCATGTGTTGTTTTCATTAATGATTTGGGGCAGCAAAAATGGATAATTATATTATTTATACAAATATTACTAGTACAGTGGGGGTCCAATATACTCCACTTAATGTTCTTATGGAAACTGAACGGCCATTTTTCTGGAATTTAACCTCAACATGAACCCCCATACAACACATAAAAGTGACCATTCCAAGAGGTATCAAAGGACAGAAGAGAATACCAACCTTCAAGGAAGAGTATGAATTTCCAAAAAGGCCTTTCAACACAGGAAACAATGAATAGCCTTATAGGAGAATCACCTGGTTACTGGAAATGCTCCCAGTAGGACAAGAACTGTTAATACAGTGTTTTCTAGCCTTTTCTTTTTCCTCTGACCCCATAAAAGAGATTTCAGTTTCCTGGGCACAGCAGCACATGCCTGTAATCCCAGCAACTCGGGAGGCTGAGGCAGGAGGATCAAGATTTCAAACCCAGCCTCAGCAACTTAGCAGGGCCCTGAGCAACTCAGTGAGACCCTATCTCTAATAAAATACAAAAAGGGGCTGGGGATGTGGCTCAGTGGTTAAGGGCCCCTGTGTTCAATCCCTGGTACCAAAAAAAAAAAGATTGATTTTGGTTTTACTCTGTTTATTTGTCTTTCCCATCAGGAGGAAAGAGTGCTTTGTCAAACTTGCTCATTTGCACCTTTGTGGCACAGAATCAAGAAAAAAGGAAACCCAAGACTCAGGTGGTGCTTTTTAAGGAAACCAGGGCAGGAGAGTAGAAATATCTGCAGACGGGGGAGGAGAATAGAAGGAAAAATGGACTCTGTAATTCCATACTCTTTATATTCTCCTCTAAGTGTTGGGAGGGGGGTGCAAGAACTACCTTTCTAGAAATAATTATTTTTCTTGGGCTAGCTCATGCCAGTGCTATATTTCATACCATGATAGTACAGGAATGGATTTTGAAGGGCTAGCTAGGTAGCTGCAAAAGAAATTGGGAGGGAAGGGAGAGTGTGACAGAATCTGATTAGTTAAGGCCTTAATTCTTAGGACAAGGGCAGAGAATTAGAATGGAAAGGACTAGAAGTATAAAGACACAGGAAGCCTAGTTAAGGGGATGGTGAGGCAGCTTCCAAAAACATTCCTGAAGCAGAATTGATTATTCATCATGTTGGAGGAATGAAAAGGAAGGGAATAGTTGAGAGGCAGGCTGGAGTATGTGAGTGCACAGGCTCAGGGAGCAGAGGGCTGGCTGTTACTGACTCCAGGAGCGGGGATAGTGGAGCACGGGAGGGAGAGAGTAGAGCAGAGAAAAGAAGTTCAGTGAGGACTGTGTTAAGGCAGAGATGTAGCATGGAAATCTATCTGTGATGCCCTAGGCAACTCGAGAGGCACATGATGGGGGAAAGTCAGGGTCTGAACAAAGATTTGGGATTCCCACATCCAGAGATGGAAGATGGAGTTGTATGGGAGGTGACCAATGCAAGCCATGTGAAAGGCTATTCTGAAGTCATGAAATGGGTGGAACACACAAAATAAACAAATTGTGAATTTGCTGGAAAAATAAATGTAATAGTTGATGCTGGAAGCTCTCTGCTCTACCATAGTTACATTCATGGGTAGGGGGACAACTGATTCAAAATGACAAAAGTAGGGCTAGGAGTGTAGCTCAGGGGTAGATCTCTTGCCTAGTGTGTGCAAAGCCCTGGGTTCTAGTACCCCCCAAAAAATCCTGGCACAAGTAGTATGTGTTGCCTCGTGTAAACTAAAAGTCCAGCAGTAGCAAAGACTTGAAGACAGGCTGCAAGCAGCAGCAGCAGCACCTCAAGGCTGGCTCCCCCACTGGAGAGAGAATGAACACTTCCTCAACCAGGAAACAAAAGTCCTGAGCTTCATTGTGACCTTGAACTCACCCCTATCACAAGCCTAGCCAGAACTAACTACTGGTGGATACAATAAAACTACCCTGAAGAATAATACTATCTTTATAAACATAAATTGGTATTTGCAACATGTCTGTGAAAAAGTCTGGGTTGCAAACAGTATATATTTACAATTCAAGTTTTGGGGGTACTTTCAGCTGAGTCTGTACAACTACATATAAGAACTATATTCGGAAAAAGAGGGAAATTCTAATGGTGGTTATCCCTGGTTGTGGGAGTACAGAGCTTTCAATTTCCTCTGGTTTCATGGCTCATATATTAACTGGAAAATTAATAAAAAATAATTTAAATTAATTTTAAAAATTAATCCTCATTAAAGCATACAGAATGACTAGGCAGAGTTCCTCTCATTCTCTCCCATTCCTGGCCTCCCCATCTGCTGATAAAGACACTGGCCCGTCTACTCAGGCGTGGTTTCTTAGAGCTCACCTGCTGTTATCCCTCTGCTAGCCTGCAATGTACCAGGCAACTCAACAGTTTGAGACTCTTGGGACCATCTGGCTAATGGGCTAAACTCACCTCTCTGAGCTCTGAGATCTTCTTGCTCACTTTTGTTGCTATATTCCTCAATCTTGCTGAGTTAACATTTATACTACAACGACTGAAATCAAACAGTAGAGATTTTACCTTCACTTTATTGCAATGACCTTCTAAGCTGACTCTCAAGTAATTAAACCCATGTCTTAATGTTCCAACTAAAATCACATTAAATAAGTAAAATCAGATTGTCCTTTGAATTTGTGGAAGCTTTCCTTACCTAGGCACTCTAAGTGTACTAGCTTCTTAAATAGCACAGCCGGGATACTGAGGCATAAAGTAGTCTATAATGGCATTTCCACTTAGTGAGTTGGTATTTGGGAACACCTACTAATTCCAGGAAAACGTGTTAATCTGGCTGACTGTTTCCCACTAACTGATATCACATACAATGCAGTTGGAGATCTCTGATATCACCTTGTGCAGGGCACAGTTCTAGGAGCTCTAGTGAACAAGCCCAATGGCCCAATGACACCCACAGGTCCCTGCCATCAACAAGTTTCTAATACCTATACGGTAAACAAGTCCATAAAGTCGTTCTACTATAGGGCAGGATTTAAGGACCTTAAAAGAAATATAAAATGAAAACCCACTAACACACACTTTAACACACTGGACAGAGATGTACTGCTCCCCTGAAGAGACCAATAAGGATGTTGCAAAAGAGGTGGCAGCACATTGGACCCTTTTTAAGCTGTGGTTTTATTTTTCAGAATTAGGCAAATCTTTCTCAGATGCCGAGTATTTTATAGATTGCTTTGAAGGGGCCAGATATCAACTCAAGGGTTTTTCTTCAAGTTACTCCCAAACTGAATTATTGTCTAAGTTCAAAGGCTTCCAGATGAGGCTACCAATCCTCCTTCCTGCACATGCCCACATTTAGAACCTCATGTGAAGATGGGCCACATATCAACTTCTAATCCCATCCAATATTATTTAGGTCTGTTTTCCTTTTTTCAGTCTTTAGAATAAACAGACAGGAGCAAGTCCTTTCCACATCTTAGGCATGCCTACCATCTCAAAGCCTCTGGACAATTCTATTCTTTCCTCAGATTTTTATTGAGTACCTACTAGGCATTTAAGAGGCATAGATAAGGGCTGGGATTGTGGCTCAGCAGTAGAGTGCTCGCCTAGCACAGGGGGGACCCAGGTTCAATCCTCAGCACCATATAAAAATAAAGACATTGTGTTGTGTCCATCTACACCTAAAAAATAAAAATTAAAAAAAATAAGCATAGATAAAATGTG